CAGGCTACAGGTGAACAGGCTACAGGTGAACAGGCTACAGGTGAACATGCTACAGGTGAACAGGCTACAGGTGAACATGCTACAGGTGAACATGCAGGTGTTGTAACAAGAGAAGCTGCACTTCCTGTGAAAACATCAGCTGAAATTCAGCTGATGTTTTCACAGCAAAATAGTTCATTAGAGCTCACTTCAAAAGCTGAAAGAAAAACAAGCCTAACTTTGCAGAAAAACTGTAAAATGGTGCACAAATCTAGCTGAAAACAGAAAATAGCTAAAAGCTAAAATAGCTAAAACATCTGTAAGAAGCAGAAACAGCACAAATTAGCAAAAGAAATAAAGTAGAAAACATCAGAAGAACAGCAGAAAGAAGCAGATCTAAAGCTGAAAAATAAAAAATAAAATCAGCTAAAGGTCGCAGACACAAGTTGTATCAGTTGGTGAAAGTTCGATAAAAAGTTTTTAAAAATCACAGAAAATAAGTATAAAATACTAAACAGTGACAATTTTTAATAAATACTTCAAACAGACAAAGTTTTCAGTAAAACATCTGAAATGTAGCTGCAGTTTTTTCAGTTAGCATAAAGAGCACAAGTTTCCTGAACTCAGCAGAAGTTGTAACAGCTAAAAAAACTGTATTTAGCTTAAAACAGCTAACTTTAATAACAGCTGAACTTTAGCTAAAAAGGCAGAAAATAGCTGAATATAGCTAAAAGTAGCAGAAAAAGTAGACAAAAACACAACAGCAGAAAGAAGCAGAATTTTAGCTGAAATAGCAGAAAAATCTAAAATTAGCTTAAAAAGTAGCTAAAATTAGCAAATGAAAGTGTAAAAGAGCAGAAGCAGAACACATTGTGTGAGGTGCTGTTAAGATTTAAACATTTAAAGGTTTTAAGGTTGTTAAAACAGCTCCAGTCATTTTCAATGGAAAAAGTGGCTGAAAAAGTATAAACAGCTGAAAAAGTGAAACAGCTGAAAAAGTTTAAACAGCTGAAGAACCAAAGGTCATGGCAGCCCTCACAGGAATGAGCTGAGTGTTTATATGTGATGACGACCTGTGAATCACCTGTCAGATAAACACCTGCTTCAGGTGACAGCAGGACGACTTCCGGATTTATGTTACCATGGTGACACACCCAGAATTAAACTAAACTCAGGGTTAACGTTGAGTTTTTACTGAAGCCCACAAACAAACACCTGTCCTGACCAGAGTACACCTCACTAACCTAATGACTCATAATGCAGGTAAACACACGATGTGTCCACAGGTGCTAGCCTAAATAATGTGGAGGCTAACACCGAGCTAACACTGAGCTAACACCGAGCTAATACTGAGCTAATACTGAGTTTACACTGAGCTAACACCGAGCTAACACTGAGCTAATACTGAGCTAACACTGAGCTTACACTGAGCTAATACTGAGTTTACACTGAGCTAACACAGGGCTAACACTGAGCTATCAAACATCGAACTACTGAGCTAACACTGAGCTAACACCCAGCTAAAACCGAGCTAACACTGAGCTAACACCGAGCTAACACCCAGCTAAAACCGAGCTAACACTGAGCTAACACCCAGCTAAAACCGAGCTAACACTGAGCTAACACCGAGCTAACACCGAGCTAACACTGAGCTAACACCGAGCCAACACCCAGCTAAACCCGAGCTAACACCGAGCTAACACCGAGCTAACACCGAGCTTACACCGAGCCGCTGTCCCTTCATCCTCCTCGGAACAACAACTCACCTTCCAGAACAGAAACAACAATAAGAAGTTGGTCCGTCTTCGCGGTCATGATGTTGACATTCTGCGGCTCCAAACGGTAACTTCCGGTCAAACTGTTTAATCCAGAGTTACGGTGTGTCTGTAGAACAGAACCGTTCCTTCAGGCGGAGGTCGACTGAACTTAACGACCCAAACAGCCGCTTTGTTGTCAGACTTTGGCGCCACTCGCTTGTTTAACAGAGACAGGAAACGGAAGAGCTCAGTCAGAGCGCCCCTGCTGGCCGGAGGTAGAACTGCAACACAAGTTCAGTCTTATTAATAAACAGGGTTAAAAACATGGTGACCAATGTTTGTAAATGTAAATTAAAGGTCCAGGTATGTGCAAAATAAACGTTCAATTAAGATACTACTAATAAAAACAAAATAATAAAAATGAGTTAGAATAAAACACAAGACATGTTGATAAAGACTTTTTTATTTGAAAAACAACATTAATAACTAAGACGTATTATTGTTAATATTATTATATTTTTACATTAAAGGCTGACCCACAAAGTGCTCAGATAAGTTCTGTCAACAGAGCAAACCATGATGAAAGACCTTCCAGTTGCACATCTGTCCACCCCCCCCCCCCCCACAGAAAAACATGACGTTTCAACAGAAACATCTGTCTGCCATCAATCATCAACAGCATCTTCTTCAGGTTGTCATGTCTGAATGTTTGTTTATCCACACAAACTCCCATCACAGGTGACTCTGTGTGTGTGACTTCAAACAGCCAATCACATCAGAGCTTACCTGTCCTTTCCCTGCAGGCTTTAACTTCTCATTTCAAACAGAATGAAAGGTTTTTATTTTTAATTCTGTGTCATCATCAAGTTTATTCATAAAGCACATTTAAAAAACAAGTTGTCACCAAAGAGCTGAACACTGGACCTACCTGGACCTACCTGGACCTACCTGGACCTACCTGGACCTACCTGGATCTACCTGGACCTACCTGGATCTACCTGGACCTACCTGGATCTACCTGGGTCTACCTGGACCTGAAGAGAGAAAACAACTTACGTCAGAATCCTCCTCACCAGCCACTCCAGTGGAGGCAGACAGCTCTTCCAGGATGGTTACATCTGACTGGACGAAGACACCAACAGAGGAGCTGGAGGGAAACAGGTCTTCATCTGGTACTGGCCCACCACAGATCCAGTTGAGGCCCTCAGGGATCTGGAGATCTCCACCACTGCGAGTGACATCATCAATCAGGAAGAGAAGGCTGTCAAGTACAGGAGCAGGACCTCAATGAGTGGTCTGGAGGAAACCAGATCTACCTGTGGTACCAGAGCGAGGGAAGCAGCAAAAACTCCATCAAGACCACGACCCTCCTCCTGGACCCAGCAGGTGTGGAGATGTTCAAGAGAGCCGGGGTCCTCAGGAAGAACCTCAACATGGGCAACTCTGGTTCTTCAGAGCAGCTGGTGTTCTATCAGTGAGAGGACCAGAGCTGAGGACCAGAGCTGAGAAGACCAGAGCTGAGGACCAGAGCTGAGAAGACCAGAGCTGAGGACCAGAGCTGAGGACCAGAGCTCAGAGGACCAGAGCTGAGGACCAGAGCTGAGGACCAGAGCTGAGGACCAGAGCTGAGGACCAGAGCTGAGAGGACCAGAGCTGAGAGGACCAGAGCTGAAAGGACCAGAGCTGAGGACCAGAGCTGAGGACCAGAGCTGAAAACCAGAGCTGAGGACCAGAGCTGAAAGGACCAGAGCTGAGAGGACCAGAGCTGAAAGGACCAGAGCTGAGGACCAGAGCTGAGGACCAGAGCTGAGGACCAGAGCTGAGGACCAGAGCTGAAA